GGATTGATTGTACTTATTTTCTATTAAACTTTTTAATCTCTCCCATATATATATATATATATATATATTCAGATTTTGTAAACTAAATATCATGAATAAAAATTTAATAGCAGAAAATTTAATTACACATTTTACAATATCATAGCAAAATCTTTGAATCCTAAAAAAAAAAAATTTTCCCTCTCTTTTGCTAATAACCAAATTAGGAATGGTCACGACAACAACTAATAATCTCTTTGAAATTACATTGCAGTGTGATGGAACTATTTCTATCAAACCACCCGAATCAGAAACCACTCAAATTTCGATCAACAATCACAAGCTAAACGGAAGCAACTATATCCAATAGTCTCTATCGATCAAGATTTTTTATCTGCGAAAGAGAAAGACAAAAACACTTCACCAAAAACAAATTATCCAACCAAGCGTCAAAGACCCAAAACTCTGAACTTGGAAGGTCAAGAACAATCTGATCATATTGTGACTGGTTAAATTAACTCTATGACAAATGATATCAGCGAGAGTTTCTTGTTGTACGGGAGTTCTATTCGAGTAAAGAAAACACATCAGAGATTTTTTCAATTAGATTTAGTCTCAATCTAAGACAATGAGATATATGTAACCCAGTACTACAATATGCTTACTGTCTAGATTATGTAAAACAATATAAAGAAATTTTGGAAAGAAAAAATTTTCAAATTTCTCATGGGATTGAATAAAAATCTAAATGAAGTTCGGAGAAGAATACTCGGAATGAAACTATTACCTAGTGTTCATGAGGTATTTTCCAAAGTAATGAGAGAAGAAAGCAAAAAAAATAAGATAATGTTGGAATATAGATTCACAAGTCTTAATACTGAACAAAACTCTGCCTTGGCTCCTTGGAACCCTCATCCCAACTTAGACAACCAACAAAAAAAGAGGTCTTGGTGTAATTATTGCAAAAAAATAGGTCATACTCGAGACACTTGCTAGAAAATTCATAGAAAACCAACTAATTTGAAGACCACAATATCAACCATAAGAAAATAAAGTTAGAAAAATTATGCCTTTATTGATGAGCGTGTCTCCACTAAGCAAATAGAAGTTTTCTAAAAAATGTTTCTACATCAAAACTCCAATAACAATATAGGATTTGGGTCAACAACTCAAAAAGGTAATGCTCTTAATGTTATTTCAGAAAGTCAAGATACTTGCACATTGACTTAAGGGTATCCAATTACATAACAAGAATGAAACATTATTTCAAGAATATAATGATGCAAAAAGAACCTTACCACAAAAATAGCGAATAAATCTCACTTAAGAACAAAATAGGTGATATCCCTATATAAAACGAATTAACTTTACGGAAAGTATTTCATGTACCTAATTTGGATTGCAATTTGTTATCAGTAAGCAAACTTACTCAAGATCATAACTACATTGCTAAATTTTTCTCAAACTTATGTGAATTTTAAGATTTGAATTCGAG